CTGGAGTGTCCCTTTAATAATATAAACCCACCCAGTATAACTAACTGTAACCTAACCTAAACAGTGCATCTAACGTGTGTGGGAGCCTAGAGTGTCCCTTTAATAATATAAACCCACCCCGTATAACTAACTGTAACCCAACCTACACAGTGCACCTAACGTGTGTGGGAGCCTGGAGTGTCCCTTTAATAATATAAACCCACCCAGTATAACTAACTGTAACATAATCTACACAGTGCACCTAACGTGTGTGGGAGCCTGGAGTGTTCCTTTATTAATATAAACCCACCCAGTATAACCAACTGTAACCTAACCTACACAGTGCATCTAACGTGTGTGGGAGCCTGGAGTGTCCCTTTAATAATATAAACCCACACAGTATAACTAACTGTAACCTAACCCACACAGTGCATCTAACGTGTGTGGGAGCCTGGAGTGTCCCTTTAATAATATAAACCCACCCAGTATAACTAACTGTAACCTAACCCACACAGTGCATCTAACGTGTGTGGGAGCCTGGAGTGTCCCTTTAATAATATAAACCCACCCAGTATAACTAACTGTAATGTAACCTACACAGTGCATCTAATGTGTGTGGGAGCCTGGAGTGTCCCTTTAATAATATAAACCCACCCAGTATAACTAACTGTAACCTAACCTACACAGTACACCTAACGTATGTGGGAGCCTGGAGTGTCCCTTTAATAATATCAACCCAGCCAGTATAACTAACTGTAACCTAACCTACACAGTGCATCTAACGTGTGTGGGAACCTGGAGTGTCCCTTTATTAATATCAACCCAGCCAGTATAACTAACTGTAACCTAACCTACACAGTACACCTAACGTGTGTGGGAGCCTGGAGTGTCCCTTTAATAATATAAACCCACCCAGTATAACTAACTGTAACCTAACCTACACAGTGCACCTAACGTGTGTGGGAGCCTGGAGTGTCCCTTTAATAATATAAACCCACCCAGTATAACTAACTGTAACCTAACCCACACAGTGCATCTAACGTGTGTGGGAGCCTGGAGTGTCCCTTTAATAATATAAACCCACCCAGTATAACTGTATCCTAACCTACACAGTGCATCTAACGTGTGTGGGAGCCTGGAGTGTCCCTTAAATAATATAAACCCAATCAGTGTAAATTAACAGCACGCCTATTAATTGATGTGAGGTAATGCCAAATTCAACATTAAGGAAGATCTCACATTATGTCCCTTGTGCAAGATGTATCATGTCAGCAGTTCTAGCATCGGAAGGCTCTAGTCTAGTAAATACAATTTAACAACACAAATAAATCGGGGGCCATGAAAGTGAACCTGTGGCAATTATTGAGTTACTAGTCCCATAATCCTTTTGTTGGCTTTGCCATTTATGGAGGATTCTGGGAGTTTTAATAACTGGAACTACACAACACTGAGGTAAAATGTATTCTGTTCCCCATAGACAATGTTTGCAAGTAGCTGGTTACTCTCTCTCTTTTTGAGTATTTTCATGAGACATTATGTTAATCAGTGGTAATGGTTCTAGTGGTCTGCAGGTGCCGTGGTTCTTTGTAAAATGGTTTTGTCAGCTGACACTTTCAGCCCACTAATGCCACACAAATGGTTCGTCAACAAGCAGTGAGACGGCACCAAGGACATACTGGCACCTTAACTACTGCAAGCTATAGTAGTTATGATACATGTAACATCTCTTTAATGACTGTATTCATCCACTTGATCAAGAGAGATCATGCTTACATTTTAATGGAACACAAGCTTCGTGCTGTCCCTAAAGCTTCATGAACGACGGTCTATACCCGTCTAGGCATGCTTTCTCAAATCCAACTCTCTCCTTGATCCTCTTCAATCTGGCTTCCACCCCTTCCATTCTACGGAGATGGGGTTTGATTAAAGTTACTATCCGTCTCATCACTGCAGACCACCCCCCCTTTGCTACGCCACTAGCCTCCTGTAGTAACTTGTATTTCACAAACCTGTCTCTTGCTCTATCTTAAAGGGCCACACTCCACTGTCTCCTTATCATTCTGCTACTTCCCACCTTGTCGTTTAGTTCCTAACCTAAACGCTGCCCTTCTTATCGTGTTTCTTTACCCCCCTCTTCTAGATTTTAAGGGTCTTTCTCGCATTTTGTAATTATCTCATTTATTGTTAAATTTCCCCCTTTATAATGTAAAGGACTTCGGAATATGTTGGAGCGATATAAATAATGAACATAATGATAGCAATCGTGTTCAATCGTGTTCATTTAACTGCACTAAATACATATTGGCGAGCCCCAAGGATGTAACATGTAAGGCCACAAGATGGCAGTATTTCACTTTAACAAACATCCTATGGCACCATTCCAGTCTACATGTTTTATAACATTTAGAAGACTATCTCAGAACATCTTAAATGTGTTAAATGCATACATTTATTAAGAAATCTACAATCACAACATTTAGAAATCTTGTTTGAAGCACCAGATACTTTAACCGGGTAATAAATGTGTGTGTGTTAACATTAAAACCACTAAGAGGCAAAGTGAATAGCATTGATTATATCGTTACAATGGCACATGTCACGGGGATATATTAGGCAGCATAGGGGGCCCCACCACTATGCCCTTGGGCGAAGGCTAACAGGAGAGATCCGTTCACCTCCCCTGCCGGCCCATGCGCAACCAGCTTTGCCTTTTGCCTTCTCGGGCCGGTGCGGGAGATCACAGTGTGAGGCTGTGTGTTCTTCCCACAAACAGACAGGTCAGAGCATTGTTGAGCGCTATCACAGCGCTCATCTCGCGAGTGGAGTAGTATGAAGAGGGACGTCAGCCCGCAGCCAGAGGAGGTGCAGGCTAAAGCTCACTATTCACCACTGGACCACCAGTGTACTGCCCTGGAAATAATGGGGAGCAGTGTGAATGTACATTCTGCCAGCTGCATTGGGTTCTGATTTATAGTTAAAGTTGGTGCTTTGTGAACCAATTACTTTGTATAAGGTTCGGATGTGACAGCACAGATTTTAATCTTGATACGGAATGCATCTAGGGAATCGCTGTACATTTCCACCGGCTGAATAAACTCCAACCTGAATTGACTTTAGTAAATATGAGAATTGCAATTACAGAATTCAGTCATTTTCACCGGATTATGGTAATTCAGAACAGAACAGAGCCCTGGTTACAATATAAACATTCACTAAACTGTGTATTGCTGAGAATTCAAGTCAATTTAAAATGATTTACAAAAAAAGAATTCAGACTGGCCATGTAGGCCTAACATTAAAAATAGACTTTGAATTCCTGACAATTCACATTTTGGTAACCAGGAACGTTTTAGGTGTATTTTTTAAAAATTTATAAAGGCGTTGGCCGCAGCATTCTGACCCCGTCACAGAACCCCCATTACATTATATAATTCTCCATTCAGGGAGGCAGATCGAGGGGAGACAGGTCAGACGTTACCCTCCTGGTTATAGACTTATTAAGATTTATAAAGCAAATATTAACACATAGAATGTAAGATTTTTCTGCATATATTTTTGTGGTTTTACATAAGCAGCTCTGCAGAAGGACTAATAAAAAAATGTAAAAAAACAAGTTCGCTCAGTGAACTCCGTTTGACTCCAGGACTAAGTTTGGAAATGTTTCATAGAACAGATTACATGCACATGATGAAAAATGTTTTAATATCCAACTGCAACAAGCTCCATACTGGATGCTATTCAGTTATTTTCCTTTAAAATGGCACATTTTGCAAATGCAAGAAATGTGTTGTAGTCTTGTGTTGGGCAGAGTTCAGTCCCACTGGTTCAAAAGGGACATTAATGCCGTAATGCAAACATATAAAATATGGGGGATGAGGGGCGGGGGAGGGAGGGGGGGGTTGGTGGTGTGTGTGTGTGTGTGTGTTTGTGACTCTCTTTAAGATTATCATCATCCACTTCTTTAGTAAAAACAGATGACTGGCTTATTGACTAACCCAGGATTTGTGGAAAATAGACTAGGGCATTGCATTTTGAGGAGTTGTGGAACATTCAATGCTTTTTTTGCTCCTCCGACACAGAATTAAAGGTATACGCTAAGCAACTTAACACCAAAACAACTTTTTCTTAATGAAGCTATTATGGTGTATAGATTATGCCCCTGCAATCTCACTGCTCAATTCACTGTCATTTAGGAGTTAAATCACTTTTGTTTCTGTTTATACAACCCTAGCTACACCTCCCCTGGCTGTGACTCACACAGCCTGCATGAAAACAAAATGGTTTCCTTTTTAATCAGATCTTACAGCACAGTTTGTTTGATTGACCTGTACCTGGCCAGCCTGGTCCCCACTGGAATCCAGGGAACCCACCCACACTGCTAGATATACACACAGCTGCAGAATAACCCTCCCCACATATAAATAATACAAACAGCCCACACACAAACACACACAATCCCCACAAATGCAACACCACTAACAATCCACACACATGCACACAACCCCACATGCAATACCCCAAACAGCCCCTCACATACACACACTACCAAACACACAATGTGACATTTCCATCCACACACACAATTCCACAAGCAGCCCCCATACACAGCCCACATTCATTGGTATCATACACAACACCACAAACTACTTGTGAACATATACAATATAATGGCTTATATACGCACAAATACAAAGATACAAAGCAACTGCAGTATAATTAACACAAGTAGAATACGGCAACATACACACCTCAATTTAAAAGATTAGGACCGGCATACTACGGTACATCACAGTGCTGCTAAAAGGTTGCCTACCCCTGACCTAGAATATAACACTTAAAAAGAAACAGTTTTTTCTCAATTCCCCCACTTTTCATGTACTGGCCATCAGCGTAGAGAAACATTTGTCAAGAAAATAAGTGGTTAATCTGGGAACCTGAATAATCTGTGTATAACTAGACTTCATGTCTACTGCATATAGAGGTTTGTTTACCAATTTTAAATTTTTTATTTAAATCACTTCATTAAATAAAACATGGAAAATCACCTATAACTCGTGTTAGCCTTTTTTTTTTGCATGCGATGCTTACATTTATTTAAATATTTTCTAAAGATTCAGCAGGTGACATCACAGTCCAGTATATTCTTGGCACAGCAAGGCATTACATTGAAACAATGTTTCTGTGTCTCCTCCCACGTTTACTATGCATAATGACAGGAACAGGCGGAGCTTATAACAATGATTGTCAGGGAGCCAAGATAGAGGGGCACAGGTTCTATAAAACAGCTGTTCGCGAAATCTGGGAAAAATTGTATGTAGAAATCCAAAAACATTATTTATATAGTTACATATAGTTACACTGCTGAAAAGAGAGACGTGTCCATCAAGTTCAGCCTTCCTCACATTTGTTTTTTTGCTGTTGATCCAAAAGAAGGCAAACAAAAAACATCTAGTTGCTGTTTAAACATCTGTACGGACTTTTATGAAAAAAAAAAAAACTCTTCAGACAGAGAATTCCACATCCTTATTGTTCTTACAGTAAAAAAAAATGTTTTTTCTTTGCCTTAGACTAAATCTTCTTTCTTCCAGTCTAAACGCATGACCTTGTGTCCTATGTAAAGTCCTGTTTGAGAATAGATTTCCAGATAATGGTTTGTATTGGCCCCGGATATATTTGTATAATGTTATCATATCCCCTCTTATAAATAGAGGATAGTATACACAATTTAAAAAAATCATGGGAACTGACATTTCATTTTACATTTTGAATGCATCTCTAATATTCTCATAACCTAGATAACCATTTAGTGAAAAAAACATTAAAATTGCCCCTTCCTAAATCTCACAGCTGCTACCATTCTTTACTCCAGACCACACAAGTCTTTAGAGGACTGGCAGTTTGATTCAGAATCTTGATAACAATTTACAATCGTTCTAGGAAAGTTTTTTTCCCCCCGCAATGACCACAACACTGTCACACAGCAGCATTGCCGGGTTGGGAATAAATCTACTGGATAGGTTTACTAAGAAAATAGTCACTTTTAAAAGGTCTGTGCAACTTTTACCCTTGTTTATTGGCATCATTCACGCTTCTTTAATGCTTTCAGGCTTATAAGGAAAACCGATGTTGATCAATATTGCAGCCATCTTTAAAATGGGCCTAATCCGGGCCTTTAAATTACTGGCTGACATCTGTAGCATGCAACATTTGATCTTTGTCTTGTACCAATGATGTGGATTTAGGAATCTAAAGTTAAAGAGAACATCAAAGATTCTTGGAGTTGCAGCATGGTCTTACTTTAAAAAGGGCTGTAAGACAGGGTCGCAGGCGAATAAGATATATTGTATCAAGCATAACCCCCCGACTAGTAATCAGAAACACAATTCAGTTGAGGTCATTCCCAAGAAGCGACGGAGGACAATTGCCAAAAACAACAACTTCCTGGCCAATCAGTTGTCCCTGCGTTCTGTCAACCAATCAAAATATTTCGCCCGCACCTCCCTGTTCGTCTATGGAGCACTCCTTCTGCCACGCGTCCCTTCCTGTCCACAAGCACTGTCAGTCTATATTTAATTATATAGGATTTTTTTTTTCTTCTTCTTCATCTTCAAGGAAACATCTGGAAGAGGGGTATAAGACAAGAAGAAATAAAAACGAATGTTCAGTGGGGCAGAGGAGGAGTACAGAGAACCATCTGATTTCATTTAAGTAAAACAACTGTATTTCAGCGACAGAGCCCCCATCGCCCCCCTCCTCTCGCTGTAGATTTAAACCATGCTGGATGAGGTCAGTGGGAAAATATGATTGCTCCTCGACTCCCTGCCTCCCCCCCCCTTTCTTTCCCCCTTTTTAGCATTTCACTTAAAACTCCCTGGAATAAAGAATTCAAATAGTGAGAGGGTTCGTGTTTCTTTACTATCTCAAGGGCTTCAAAAAGGGCTGTGAGCAAGGGATGCTAAGAATTAACATCAGTCCGGCATGTCGATATAAGCAGGGCTGGAACGAAGTCACTGACATTGTGGACATTTGATTATATATTTAAAAAAAAAAATAGTTGCCAGGTTAATTTTTAATAAGGATTTGCCTTTTTTTTTTTTTTGGAACAGTGGAAAGTGAGCTTGCATGTCCGTGTGTGATCTGTAACAGTTGTCAGAACAGTTATACATCCAATTTAGGAAATGTCAGTAGCAGACATGTTCACTTCAGGCTGGAAGTGTCTTCCATTTATTAACGCAGTTAATAAAGTAAATGAAATAATATAACAGTTACAGTTCCTGCATTTTCTGCAAATACATGGTATTTACAGCATCTGCACTGAGCTCTCTATTCACTGTAGTCTCATCTTATCCCATAAACTCCTACCTAGCAAGGTGTATGGGATAACATGTTCAGTGCTATCATTTATCACAGAGGAGATGAGAAATTAAAGTCATCCACCGCCTGCATGGAAATGGAAGGAATAAGAACTTTATTAATGTGTGAACGTTCCTGATATACACATTCACTACTCTGCAACGATACAAGAAAACATTTATTTTTAATACAACGCTATAGTGTTAGGATTACAAATGTGTATTACTAACGCTATAGTTCCCTGGTGGCCGAATAGGTGACCAATCCCCACCTGCAGGGAGGTAAAATAAAGTTGTTTTACACACCTTTTCTCCCTGACAGTGCCGCTCTCTATGGCTGGCCCCACTTCCTTAGTTGAGATCATCGAGAACGATGATCTCAGCCAATCCAATGAGAAAGCATTGGGAAGTTAGTGCAAAACACAACGCTGTGCCAATCAGATGGTCTCTCTGAAACATCTGATGATAAAAAAATAGCAGAGTTTAACTTTGCTATTACCTTTGCTGTACCCTTAATGGTATTTAAACTCTAAGATTTAATAAACCCATTTGTCTCTCAGGGTTTCTAATACCAATATCTATATTCACAGTGGAGGATGGTAGCGGTCATGAAATAAGACACAGTTTATATCGAATTGTAAAAGATAAAAAGTAGCACGTTGGGAAGGATCTAATGTCTGTATGGATGGCAGATCATTTTTTAGGATTTGCACAGAATAAGTAGAAAAAAATGCCACTTTTTGTTGTTACCGTAACATATCCAGTAATGGACTCCGAGAGATGCACAGCCGTATCATAGCTGCACAGCTTTGAACCGTCAACGGAAAGATGGGTTTCAATCAAAACATAAAATACTCCTCCAAGAACCCAGAACATTCAGGAAAAGATTAGTAGCTCTTTAAGACTTACTCTAGAGCCCAGTAGGACAGAGGGTTTGTTCATTTCTGGAGTTTAAAATTAATGGATCAATCAGAATAAATCTCTTTACCATAGCGAGGCACGGATAGGGGATCGGTTGACATATTGCTACAAATCTCAATAAATGTACATAGAGTTTATTTTTTTTTAGAATTCTTACATTTTTGTTTCAACCAATGTAGATCCATAGAAGTGAAATATGTGTTCTACATTGCACGGATGGGTCTGAAGAATTTAATGGAATAAGATGGTCGACGTTTACTTGACTTGGTTTCCCGGAGAGCTCACATGTTGGACATTAGGTGAAAAAAAAACCCATACAGTAAAAAATAAAAAAATAAAAATATGCAGCTGCCTATAATGATAGCTATTTGGAAGTTAATTTCATACGTTACAATTAAAGTACCTGATCTGCTTCCAGGAAATTTCAATTGATCTCATTCAACGAAATGGATGGAAAGAGCACCATAAAAGATAACTCAAGGGTAATTAACGAAGGGGCACTAATTGGACAGAAGCTCTTCGTCTTATACACCGAGATGGGAGATTGTTATATATACTCTGCTTGTTTAAGGGATTCTAAGAATACACATACTTAAATGCAGATGGCATGCATTAAGAGTGCTGACTCAGGGCAGACTGGCTGGCGGGGTTTTGGTGGGTGGTTGGTGTAAGTAAAATTACCCTTAAAGTCTCAGACAATAACTCATCCGCCGTCTTAACAATGTCAACGTATGTATCCATACAAACAGATAAACACAGCTAGAGACATGACATGGATTAAAAACATATACTTTAATATATTAACATTATAATACATTATTACACACAAATTAAACCGGCTGACTCTACTGTATCGTGTATAAGTCATTCCGAATCCGTGACTTGGAACCCTACCTCTAAGAAGTGTATGAGCATTCCAGCACCGAAACAGTTAAGAAAGGAAGAGAAACATTAAATCACTGCTAATGTTAAAATGCGGTCTTGTGATGATTCATTTCAAACTAGTTCAGTGCTGGCCGGATGACAAAATAGTTCTTAAAGGAAACACAGTGTTCTTTCCTGCATTATAGAGTAGGGGGCCCAATATTGCTAGGAAAAAACTACTTTCTGCCTTAGTCATCAGCTTTATGTCCATCGACTAGAGTCTCAGCTGCTGCTGTAGAAACTAAGCATGGTATGGTGCCTGTCAGTCAGACTTTCAATGTCAATCGCTCACTGTCAATCAGGCTGGCACTGTCAATCATTCTTAATTCATGACTGAGAGGTACAAACGCTGCCTTTAAATTAACTCTACAGCTACCAACAACTTTTACCCAGGTTGCAACTTTTGGCCTAAATAATGTACTTTTTTTTAGCTCAGTTTTGTATTGTTTCTGGGAAAAATATAAAATAAAATAAAAGCATTTTCTATCTTAAATCTCTTCTTTGCCACCTCCATTCTAATTGATTTATTCTTCTCTAATTTTGGTTTGGTTGCTTTTGGCTGTACACTGAATGCATAAAATAAATAAATATAAAAATAAATGATTTCCAGCCTGGAGTCCCCTTAAAGAAACATTTTGGCCCTAAAACAATATTATCTTATTGACGTTGTTATGGTATCTTTAGTACTACTCCCTTTATATCCTGCACCCCAAATGTAAGGTTTTATTAGTCGGAAGGTTTGGAAGTGTGCCTCCCAGCCCCCTGGGTAGGATAACGAAGACGGTTACTACCCGGCTCTCATACCCTGGCATACTGTGGGTATGTAATGATTCTCTATGGCAGAATCATAGGAGCATTGTGACGAGTGCCACACATGCACCTACAGCCTTCAGTGCTCCTCTATGGACTGGATCGTATTTCAGCGCTGCGGAATATGTTGGCGCTTTATAAATGCCAGTAATAATAATAATAATAATCCTAGAGGCACACCTTAAGGATGACGTCACTAGAAGATGGCCAGGCATTAGCGCCAAAGGAAACGGTGAAAAAGTGAACAAATTAAATGTAAAAAATAAAAATAAAAAAATTACAAAAAATGTACAGTGTGGTGTTGGGGGTCTGGAAATACTATAGTGTTTGGAATAGAGTGTTCCTTTAAATCCTAGATAAACAAACTTCACTGGTGGTCCAAGTCAAGTCAAAACAACTTTCTCTGATTTTGATGTTCGATATTCCATTTACCAGAGGGGCCTCTAAGCTTCCCACACACTTGCTTCCGAATGAGACCTTTATCTAATACATGGAGATCGCTGTAAATATAACTTATGTTTCCTTTTTATCCTTCGCTGGAGTTTTAGGGGTCACTGGCATAATATTCTTTTGAAAAGACCCAGGTGGCTGATGTTGTGAGCGTTTTCTGCTCTTCCTGGTCAGTCGAGCATTGGCATAGTTTATGCCGAATATTTAACAGAGAGTTGGGAGAAAGAGCTATTTTTTTAAAACATGTTTTTCTCCCAATCTATACATTTGCTTGTAGATCAAATGGATAGATTAGATTATTTGCTCTCTCAAAAGAGCATGTGCAGTTTGGGGCATGATACGTGCCATTTAAGATGCATTATGATACTTTCACTCGACTGTAGCTGAAATATAACTAAACATTTTTCAGATTTGCTGTATCTTAAATGGAACTACAACTGGTATCCTAGAACTCAGGACTTAATAACCGGTTAATATTGGAATCTATAACCAATTCTGATCAATCCAGTTTCTGATTCATTCACTGAAATCCAAATGATAGTAAACTCAATTCTGAATGGCAACATGTAGGCTCAAATAGACAATATGAAGACATTCTCCAAACCGTTCACTAGTTTAATTAATATTCCATGGAACATCTTTTGGTAAAGCATGGGGGAGTGATGGCTTGGCCAGTGCTGTATTGGGCCTGGTGCTCAGGAATACGATTATTACAGACTATAGTAGAAAGTCAAGTGTCTGGTATATGGTTCAGCGGAAGGTAAACTCACAGGACGCATTTATAAGAAGACACATTTTTGCTAATATCTCGCTTCCATCGCTCAGTCCATATTGGGTAATCTCCTATGTCCCTTTGTTTTATACAAACACTTAACCCTATAACACCCTCCTTAACCCAACATTCCCCTTGAAATAAATAACACAGACACCATGTTGGGAGGTAAAGCTGGCCGCCTTTATTGCATACATCACTATGGCATCATGGCAGAAAAACCATTCCAACAGAATGGCCGTAACATATATATAACTAGTAACCAAATTTAACCAGCTAGGGTGGCGGCGCTGAGGGCTAAACTCCTCAGCCCACAAGAGGATGCGGCTCACCTAATCCTGCAGCACAGCACCCATTGCATCCGCCCAAGCAGAGGCATAAGGACAGCAAAAGAGAATTTTTGGCACGGCCACCTTGAACTCAGACTGCAGGCAGGCGCCCCAGCCGGGCCACTGCAAAAGA